CCTGGGGATGAATGTTGATTCCTCTTGGATATCTGGTTCTCATGTAGGCTGCCCAAAGTGAGTCATTTTTTATGTAGTTCCACCACATCTTAAGACCATAAGCTTCCTGTAGTGTGATGAGGGAAGTGAGTCCCAATCCTCCTTCTTCCTTAGGGTAGCAGATCTTTTCCCATTCCATCCAATGGTAGTTGTGTTTATCTTTAGTTCCCCCCCAAAGGAAGTTAGACATCTTCATGTGAAGAATATGGATGATGCTTTTTGGGAGTTCTGTGGATCCAAGAGTATGGACGGGGATGGAGCTTATTACATGCTTGATTAGGATCACTTTACCACTTTGGTTAAGTAAATTTTTGTCCCATCCACTGAGTTTTTTCTCAAAATGCTGTAGGAGGGGTGTGCAGTATTGCTTCCTGTTGACCCCCCTGTGTATCTAGACACCTAGGTATTTGAAAGGAAGGGTTCCTTTTTTCATGCCTAGTGTGTTTTGTTGCATGAGGGAGACATGTAAGGGGGTTTTACAGGGGCTGTAGAAATTGCATTTCTGTAGATTGACTATCTGTCTTGAGGTTTCCTCATAGTGTTTAAGAAAAGTCCTGAATCTGGTCAGATTTTGCTTCCCCCCATTTAGGAAGATGATGAGGTCATCAGCATAAGCTAGATGATGGATATTCATGTGATTTCTTCCCATCTTGTAGGGCTCAAGTTTTCCAGATTGCATGAAGGCATTGAGAGTTATGCTAAATCCTTCAGCAGTTATGATAAACAGAAGAGGGGAGAGGGGGTCTCCTTGTTTAAGTCCCCTCCCTGGTCTGAAAGGTTTAGTATTATGTCCATTGATGGAGATGGAGAGAAGAGTGGCTTGTAGAAGGTTATGAATGAGAAGTTGCAATTTTTTGTCAAAACCAAATCTGTCTAGTATTGACAATAGGTATTCCCAGGAAACTCTGTCAAAGGCCTTAGACATGTCTAGTTTTAGGACCAGGTTTCCCCCTCTTGCGTTATGGTTAATACCATGCAGCATCTCATGGGCTAGAAGTACTTGTTCATTTATGGACCTCCCTTTGACAAAACCCCCCTGCTCCTTAGAGATAACCTTAGGAAGAAGGTTACCCAGTCTTGTTGCGAGAATTTTGGGAATGATTTTTGCAGCAAAATTGGAAAGACATATGGGTCTGTAGTCTTCACAGTAGGATGGATTCTCTTTCTTGGGGATGAGAATAATAGTGGATAGTGCCATCTGTTTTGGCATCTTGATTCCAAGGAAGAATTCTTGTGTTGCTTTAGTGACATCCTCCTTTATCCAATTCCAGTGCTTTTTGAAAAAGTTTCCATTGTATCCATCTGGACCAGGTATACACACACACACACACACACATATCCATAAAAGTAAATCACTAGTTCACTACAAGAGCAGTACACCTTGTAATATATATAGATTTTGGTTCGGGTGAGAATGCAATCTTATGAAAGAAATAAGAATTAATCTGGTGCTTTAGATTATGAGATCTAAGGGTCAGGAGTACATCAAAATTTGGTGCACCAAAATGGTTTGAAAATGCATCATATCGAAATGCACCAAAATCCCTGGAAAATGAACTATTATAAAATCTGAGTGCAGGATGCAATCTGAGCCGCACGATGCATAAGATCTCAGGGGGGTTCACAGTGGGCGAACTATTTTCCAACAGCTTCCTCATCAATTTTGAGCAAGATGAAGACTACCAGAGATTCTTTTATCGTAAGGTTTGGACCATTGGTAAGGATACCATGTCTGTAACCAAATGATCTCCAACCTTAACACAAGAGGAAGACTCCCCCATTGTTCCGGTTTGGATCTCCAATCCTCATCTTCCAATTCACCTTCATGAATAAGCTGCTCTTTTCAGTATTGCCTCCATATTGGGGACCCCTTTAAAGGTTGACAATGCTACGCTCAACTTCACCAGACCCAAGTATGTTAGGGTTTGTGTGGAACTTGACGTTTCCAGGACTCTCCACCAACGCATTCATGTCAAACATGCTGATGCTGATCTCTTCTTCCAGGGTTTCTATGAAGACCCCTCTCTTATCTGTAATTCTTGCTGGAAACTGGGTCACAACCATCTGACTTGTAAACCGGTCACACAACCGGCGAAAAGGGATATTCCAGCCCCTAAAGTCCAGGATAATACGACGACAAAGTCCAGCAGGGATGGACCAAAGTCACTCGGAAGGGCAAGGCTCTAGCTATTCCTAAACAGGGGGATATTTCCAAACCTATTCATGTTTGGGCCCCAAAACCCACTATAAGAGAAGAACATGTAGAAACGTCCAAGACGGGTGCAAGAAGGAGGGCTCCAGTGTTTTTACCTTCCACCAATGTTTTTTTCTTGGACCCTTCTGGGTTGGCTCATTCAGATTTACCTCCTCATGCAGAAGGGACCCCAGTGTCAGAACCTCCTCATGCTGAAGGGAGCCCAATGTCAGAACTGCCTTCTCTAGGACCTATCCAGGTTCACAACCAAGAGGAAGTTGAAGACACCCCCCTTAAGACAATCTCCTCCTCAGCTCCTTCTTCTCCATCTGGTACCCATTTTAATTTTTCAAGGATTCGCACAAGATCAGATTTCAAGAAATCTGGTAATGGGGTTTTCCTAACCCTTCAATGATTAATTCCCTCTTTTGGAATGTAAGGGGTGTGTCTCAACGGTGCAAGAGATTATCTCTTTTGAATAAGCACCACTCTCTAGACTTTATTTTTGTACTTGAACCCTTGCTGGCTTCTTCTAAAGGACCAGACATTGGTTTCTCCTTGGGTCTTACTGGCTTTCTTAGTACTTGCAATAACAAAATTTGGTTTTTTTGGAACAAAGAAAACTATTCTCTCTTGAATCTGCTAGAAAGAAATCAGATCTCTCATTTCACCATGAAGGGTATTCTAGATGATTCTACCTTTGTCCTTAGTGGAGTGTAAGGGGGACACTCGGTGATAAGTAGGAAAAACCTTTGGGAAGATATCAGATCTTTTAATAACTCCAATGCTCTTCCTTGGTTATTGGGGGGAGACTTCAATGCCATTTCAGATATCCTTCATCACCAAGGGAAAAGGCTGCCTGAGTTAGAAGGGGTGGAAGATTTTAACTCATGCATTAAAGATTGTAATCTCCTGGAAAGCAATTTCACTGGACCAATTTTTACCTGGCATGGAACTAGAAGTAATGGCAAAGTATGGAGAAGATTGGACCGGGCTTTTTCAATGAAAGATGGAGCAATCATTGGTCAGACATCTCAATGAAACATGTTTCAAAACAAGGCAGTGATCATTCTCCTCTCATAATCTCCTCCAAATCATCCACAATTACAACCCCAAAATCCTTCAGGTTCCAAAACATGTGACTCCTTAATAAAGACTTCAAAAATCTCTGCAAAGATTGGTGGGCAGAAATCCCATATTATGGAGGAATGAGATGCCTTTTTCATAAACTCAATCACCTCAAATCCAAAATAGTCCCCTGGAATAAAGAACACTTTGGTAACATTTTTGACCTGGTGAAAGAAGCTGAAGATGAGGCCTCTTCAGCTGAGATTAACTTTGAGAAAGATCCTTCAGATACCAATCGAGAGATAGTTAATCTTAAAAAAGCTCATCTTTTACAGGTGGGGAACTTGGAACATAGCTACTGGAAACAAAAATGTAATCTCAAATGGCTTAAAGAAGGTGATGCCAATACCAGATTTTTTCATAATTTGGTCAAGGAAAGAAGAAGGCAGCAAAAAATCAACTCCTTAAAGGATGAGCAAGGGAAGTTTCAAGAAGATCCAACAATTTTAGAAGATATGGTTACTTCCTACTACCATAACCTGTTCAATTCTGCTGAACCGAATCCCTCTACAGTATATTATGATGGCTTCCTGGCAAACATCCCTAAAATTTTAGATCATCATCATAATCAAGAACTGATGCTTTTACCCTCTGAAGATGAGATCAAAGCCATCCTTTTTTGATATGGAGCCTAACTCTTGTGCTGGTCCAGATGGTTTTAATGTGATTTTCTTTAAGGAATGCTGGGATATAGTTAAGAGAGAGGTAACTTCTGCCTGTCAAGAAGTCTTCTTGGGCATTCCACTCCCCGTGGCGGCTGCAAGCACCAATTATTGTCTTATTCCCAAATGTGATAATGCATCTAGACTGAATGATTTTAGGCCTGTGTGTTTATCAACTGCTGCCTCTAAAATTGAAACAAAATGCATTGCCAAGAGACTTAGCAAGGTGCTTCCTTTGATCATCTCTGAAGAACAAGGGGAATTTGTGGCTGGTAGGGATATCATGGAGCAGATTCTTCTCACAAAAGAAATGGCACATAACTTTGATAGAAAAGCTGAGGGTGGCAACATTATCCTCAAGCTTGACATGGCCAAAGCCTTCGATAAGTTAAAGTGGTCTTATCTCTTGGATATACTCCACAGATTTGGTTTCTGTCACCAGTTCTTAATTATGATCAAAAGCCTCCTTCATTCCTCTAAATACTCCATTCTTTTCAATGGGAAACCTTGTGGTTTCTTTGGCCAATCTAGAGGAATCAAACAAGGTGACCCCTTATCCCCCCTCCTCTTTATTATTGCTAATGAAGGTTTCTCAAGGAACATTAATAAACTGTTCCACACTGGTTCTTTGGGTAGATTCAACTGTGGCAGAAACAGCATCCCTGTCACCCACTTGGCTTATGAGGATGACCTCATTATCTTCACCAATGCTCAGCTCAGATCTATTTCCAATTTGAAGACATTCTTGGCCAAATATCAACAGGTCTCTGGTCAGACTATTAACTCCTCTAAGAGCAGCTTCATGGTTGGGAAGAAGTTTAATACTATGAGAATTAGGAAGCTGGAACAACTCCTGACCATGCCACACAGAAAGCTCCCTTTTACCTACCTGGGTAGCCCTATCCACTCTGGCATCACAAGGAAACACCATTGTACACTTCTCATTTCTTCCTTTGACAAGAAACTCAATGGATGGTATCAAAAAAACTTGGATCAGGCAGGAAGATTAATCCTTATTAATCATGTCCTCAATACCATTCCTAACTACTTTTTGGCTGCAAACACTGTTCCTAAATCCATCATCAACCTTCTTCATCAAAAGATGGCAAGGTTCTAGTGGGGTTGTGGCCAGAAGAAGCATCATTGGCTGAAGTGGGAATCTCTTTCTTTACCAAAAGAGGAAGGTGGTATTGGCACTAGAGACTTCCAATCCTTGGAGGAGGCCTTTAGTCTCAAATTATGGTGGAAATATCAACATAATAACAGCCTCTGGGGGAGATTCATGAGGGCCAAATATCATAGGCGGGGAGAGATGGAATGTCACTTGGTGGATTCCCCTACCTGGACCTGGATCACAAGGATTAATGTCAAAGCTCTCAATCACTGCCATACTACCGAGGAGGAAGCATTTATTTGGAATGAGGACCCATCTGGGCAGTTCACCCTTAAGAGTGCTTATGAGGTTTGCAGGACTAATTCTAGCCCTTCTCTTGCGTTTCATAATATTTGGGAATCCCCAAAAAAGTCCAAAATCAGCATCTTTATGTGGAAACTTTTACGCAAGTGCCTCCCGATCCCTAAAAACCTTCGAAAGCTTGGTTTTGCTCTCCCTTCTGTTTGTCCTTTCTGCATGAATTCAAGCCTCATAGCAAAACATTCCCTGATTGATTGTGCTAAGATCTTGGATATTTGGAGACATTATGCTAGATGCTTAAACTTCCTCCACACAGAATCATCTACTATCAACCAACACTTTATGAACTGGTGGTTGAGGGACACACCTAACCTTTATGGGCTACTGCGTAAACATCTGCCAGGGATAATCACGTGGCACATCTGGAAAAAGATGAATGAGATCATTTATGGGAAATGTTCTAATTTTAGCACTTTAAGCCTTATTCATCAGATTGATTCGTATACCAAACAATGGTTGTCCATCAAGACTCCCCGCAAACTTCACCATTTTGACTCCTGGTTATTCTCACATAATCTTATACCCAGGTTCACTTCTCACAACTACGTTCGCATGGTTAAATGGAAGGCACCTCCTACGGGTAGGCTTAAACTCAATGTTGATGCCTCCTATACCACAACACATCAAAGAGGTGCAGCTATATTAAGAGATGCAGAAGGAAGACTGGTCCGTGGGACCTCCTTCAAACTACACTCTAGGAGTGCCTACCAAGCTGAAGTGGATGCCGCTATTAAAGCAATCAGATGGGCCCTTTTAATTTCCAATTCTCTGATTTATGAGACTGATGCTAAGTCTATTATTTCCAGGATTCCATTGTTCAATAAAAATTCAGTTTCCTCTTTCCCAATTGACGTTTTGGGTCAACTCATCCTTCAAAATGGAATTCAAGTTTCTCACATTTTACAGGAAGGGAACTCTGTTGCAGATGGTCTCGCAAAGGTGGACATGACTTTAGATTCCCCTCTCAAGGAATACTGGCATATCAACCTTTGCCCTGATGTTGTTAAAAATATTTTGTACCATGATTGTATCCCCTCGTTCCGTTTTCATTAATAAAACCTGATTTCTTTGCCAATATATATATATATATATATATATATATATATATATATAAGTTTGTCGTAAGGATAATATTATATATTCAATATTGGTGTCGTGGGGTAGGTCTCATGAATAGATGACCAATGACGTATTGTTTGTCAAGTTTGGAACTTTGTGTAAAATTAATGAACGAAATAGATTTTTCAATAGAATAAATAAATGAATTTATTTGATAAAATAATAATAATAAACTAAATCGTAAGTCTACTCTAACTACAAAAACGAAACCCACCTGTCCCAGTATTTATACACGGAGTATAACATCCGCGGAGTACTTGTTATCTATAAAACCACTAAGGCCACACACAGTAATATACTAGCTAGTTCTACGAAGCAGCAGACATACCCTTTCCACTGATTGATCGATTTATGCTATGAGCACTGTCATTATTGCTGATTTCCGCATATCGTCGTTGTTTGTCCTCTTGTTGTTGATTTACCCATTAATTCAATTCATTTAATTTTTCCAATTCATTCAATTCAACAAGGTGAGTCGAGGTTCATATGACTATCGTTGGAATTAATTTATAGAATGGATCTTCATTTGCATATGTGTTATAAATTGACTGCGTGTTGGGAACATGATTGTTGAACTCGTTAAAATCTGTTCTTGAATCATATTTTGTTGAATTTGTAGTAGGAGAATGCTTTAGGGCTTGATGTATGCATATATGTTTGATGAGTTTTTATGGACGTTTTGATGTCAATTCCACGTTTGGAATCTTGCTAAAGATTGATAGACAAAGGTTAAACACGACCGAGGTTGACCACTTGTCAGGGGGTAGCCTACTACCGGTGGGTGGTACCCAGGTACAGTTACACTATGGGTAACTATCGTAACCGTGACCTTAGACCTGTAGACCCATACCTTGAGGTGGCACCCCCCTATCGCCAGACAGTATTCAGGTACCGTATCTAGACCAAAATTTGAATGTTCATTTTGCACGAGTCTGTAACTCCTTGAATTGTAATGAGTGAGGCCTGAAGGTAATCAAGGTTGGATTCGCTCCCCTCATATGCTGCAATTTGATGTGAATTGATTTTCTATGAGATATGTTATTGCATGGACTGAGCTTGCTTTTTCTATAATGTGAACCAAATTGTGATGATCGATTATGCCACTTAGTGTAACTAGGCAGACTTGAAATGAGTTAGACGATTGAATCACCAAGAGGATAGAGATTAAAACTAATGTCATGCTAGTGTCATCTCACACCTAATGGTCTTGAGGGATAAAGCGTACATATGGTGGTCCGTGTCCTCTGTGGTGAGTGCGAGAGAGGGTCATCAACCCCCACCAGAGAGGGTCTTGGAATTATCTCTTCACATAGGATTGATGTGAGCCTTAGCTGTATGGATAGATGAATATACTAGGATGAATTCTGATCATTAATGATGTGATATGATGATGTGACTAATCCGTATGATATTTTTTGATTGTATATGATTGTGGTACCACTCTGTAAGTTGACTCAATTATTATATATATTCTCACTCTGCTTTCAGCTAAGCATGTAGTCTTTGTTTTCTTTGGCTTCACGGAGGAAGGAAACAAGGATTGAATGAGCACCCCAACGGTCCGTGATGCTTGGCAAAGTGGATTGCTCGAAGCTATTTTATTTTAAATTAATTATTCAATTAAACTTATTTATTTAAATTTCAAGAATGTTTTGTGATATTGTTTGTAAAAGCTTCCGAAACATTTTATTTATTACTCTCATTAGACACATGCTTTAAATATGAACAATTTTATTTTAAATGTTTTGTATTTAAGGTGCATGTGGATACCAATTGAGTGGAAACCAGGTTCCCTAACCCATTCGTCCAAGTTATGCATAAGTGTGACTCCTCCTGAGGTTGAAAATAACGATCTCTCTCCCCCTTTGTAATTTTCCTTGATATTTTAAAGTCAAGTTGTTTGCTGAGATTTCGATTACAGAGGGCTTAGAATATAATGAAGCAATTGGCTGATGCTCACCGGTCTGAAAGATCATTTTAGGTTGGAGATTGGTATTTCTCAAACACAACCCTACAGACACATGTTTTTAGCAAATAGATGTAAAGAAAAGGGAGTCCTAAAAGACTTTATAAATAGATTCAACTATTGTGTGTTGGGGGCTACAACTCCAGCTGCTAGAATCTGTTATGATTCATGATGTCTTTCATGTCTCCCTGCTAAAAGACTTCTCTCGATAGTTGCATTCACAACTTCAAATCCCTAATAGGTTGCAGGACATAAATACTACATATAAACTTTAGCCCGTTATTGTTTTAGATAGAAGAATACAAAAGAAACAGAATGCAGTGAGTCGGGGTGGGTAACAGGCCTTGCATGGTGTTTCTTCCAACATTGGGAATAAGGTTTTCATTCCAAGGGGGTGGCATGTTACTGGTGGCTTTGTTGGCCGAAGTGATGCATTAGAGTTTCTATTAGTTGCAAGTTAGTTAAGGGTTGTTGCAATTGAGGATAAATATACATCTTATCTCTAAACTAACACATATTATTATTTATTTTTTTAATATAGGTTACAAACTCTCTATTCTTCTTCCTTAACATTCTGTGCAACTCTTCGAGGATCCATTCCTAAATCTAGTATCTTCCTACCAAGTACCAGCTGCATTACTTTGTATATAAATATTTACATGCCTATATGATTAGGTATAGACTTCGCGTGTGGAGGACTCAATATTGTTGGAGGCATAAATCTCGGGCTCACCATTATACCAACCTTGTACTCCAAAGATCACACAAAAGAACTAGTTTTTTATATTTTGGTGTGTGTACAGTTTTACAAAAACAAATTGGGAGGGGTGGGGGCTTGTCCCGAATTAAAATACCCTAGATGTCACATATAGAACCCTTAAAAGATTACCATATGAAGAAGCACCATTTACCTTTAACTTTTTGGTCGTATTGCTTCTTGTCTTTCATCATCAGTGATGCTGCATCACCATTTAAGGGATCTGATGGGTTTGGGTAAAGTAAGAGCTGTGGAAGGAAAACCTCAAATATATTTAACAGATCTGCACCAACATAAATAAGGACAACTTAAGCCTTTAAGATCTTGCAAAAAGCAATCCATAAAGGCATTCGTATAAACTTGTTTTTCAGTGTCATGAAAGACTCAAGGGGATAAATACATTGTTTACTTCAATGTAACAACTTACCAAACATTGGACTCCATGTCTGGTTGATGACATCCAAGCACACAGAACCTGACCTATAGTGAATGGACAAAATTTGATAAGCTAGCATTACACGCTTCTTTAACATGAAAAGATCTAAAGATTTATTGAAACTAACAACATACTCCAAACATCTTGATGAGAACATGAGAAGTCAAAAACTATGATAATATAAGAGTTTAATGATATGAAAGCTCACAGTTCATCAACATTTGGGTGATATATTTTGTTGATAAATCCAATGGAAGGAGACTTATAAGGATAAGCATCTGGGAGTTCCACGCGGACTTTCCAAACCCCGCCTTCATAAAGGCCTTCAAAATGTCAAAACAAAAGTAAATAGATAAACATATTGAATTAGAAGATCTTTACCAAATGACATGACATCATTACAGATATAGGGATAATGATTAATGAATCATTATAGGAAAATGGAAAAAGAGTATTGAGGGTAAAAAATTCAGGTGTCAAATTTTCTATAATAAATATGTGGTGTAATTATCATTGGCACCTTAGTCCCAACTACATTGGGGTCAAAATGTGTCGTGTCAACAAATTGTTTTTTGAAAGTAAATACTCTTAAGTTTCTATAGAAAATAACATTGAAAATGTTTTGCACGGGATGCCCTTCAAGCCACCGCCTTATAAAGAGAGCATAAGTAAAAATACGATGTATCAGCACAATATACCAAGGAATTGCATATACTAATGAAATCTTAACAAGACATCCATGTATATCAAGGAAAATGAGGACCGTTACTTTCTTTTGGACCATGGAATTCCACAACAAAGTTGTTGATTTCATCATCTTTTGTCTCCACGGTGTAATCATTCATCATTCTATAGCATACAAACACAAAAATAAAATGACTTATAAGCAAAATAAAAGTTGAAAAAGTAAAATTAAGATCTGTCATTTAAAAGTGTATGAACACTTACAATTTCATGACATCCATATCCCTTCTCTTGCTTGGGGAAGACATTTTTTAAAATGCAATGTTTTTTCAGAACTGCCAAATTCATTTAAAAAAAGATAAAAAGTTTTAAAGGCGAGCAATATGCGTTGAAATATTATAAGGCATAATAATTCAAATTAAAAATAGAAATAGCAATATATTATATGCTATGGGAAGAAAAAGTAATAGCATAATATTGCAAAATTTGCAACACATATTTCACCAATAACGTACAAAGAAGCAAACTTGTTCCGTTGTCCCAATTCCTCTGTCCTGTGGAGGTGGGTATAAGCAGTGATAAGAAATTGATAACATAAATGCCAACTTTTGTCAAAAGAAAAATACTTCGTATTGATCTTTGGTTAATAATCCTCTTTTTAAATAAATGATTTTATTTGATTTATAAGAAGCCATTGCATGAGAGAAACTAGAACCACTAATTTGATTTAACTACCAATACAATTTAAGTGATGCAAAATATATGAACTAAACATGGTGCAATAGTGCATAACCACTAAATTATTGTGGATGGTGGACATGGATACCAAAGTAGGTGGTATACATGCCCTATTTTGCATTGCAATTGTGAAGCTTATTGTTTCTCCGAGAAAATTGGGTACCACCATGCAATGTCTAAATTCTAATACAACCACCTATCAATCTATTTTAAAAAATTCCTTTTGGGTACCTTTAATTTTTTGGTAAGAATTATGGGGTCTCACATTTAAAAAAATAACTCTGACGGTGTCTAAAATTTGAACTAAATTACTATGGGGTACATTCCGTCCAATCGATCATTAGAGACAAAAATTCGCTTAGTTACCCTCTTCATAATTACTTTGAGATGTCTCAAGTTTTATACTAATTATTCACATGTCCTCTTTTGCCTTCCTCAATATCTTCACCCTTTAGCAATTTTTGGTGCTCATTTCTCCTTCAACACTTCCTTGTGTGTTAGAGACTCACAATTGGGGTGTTAAAGCTCAAGGACACCAAAGGGAATTCTCATATTAACAGCGGAGATCTCAAACAAATCTGTAATTGGGCATTGTGGGGAAAGATATCGCTAGTCTCCTTGGTGGCTCTAGTGATTCTGACGACTCTAGTGACTTCCGCTCTAATGACGCACACACAAATGACGCCCACGTACGTGGAGCACCAACCACTATCATCCTCATCACTAGTGACTAGCCAACATTAGACCTCCACCTCACCCAGTGTAACGCCCCAAAATATACTCTAGAATTATTAATGAATAAATAATCAATTAATCAAATTTGTTTTGATTAAAATAAATTATTGTTGGGCTTTGGGCTGATACGAAATTTGTTTTGACATCTCGATAAGTCTCATAGAGATAAATCCAATATGTGGACTATTTGTGTGGTCTTGATTGGGAACCTGAGTACAGACCCAAATAAGGAGTAAATAAAGAATTTGTTTAGAATGTAAACATTGAAATGATTTTTTGAAATAAATCGTGAGAATAATTGATGTGAATTAAATGAGAGAACCTATTATGAGAAAGGTCAATTAAACCATTTTTGACTCTGTTAAAGTCAAACACCCAAAAATGTGGTGTCGGAAAAAGTATAACGAATGAATATAAAAATTATATCGTTGGATAGAGTTCGACTATCTGGTCGCAACGGTGCAAACGGATTTCAATTCGGAGAAAGTTGGACCGAAAAGTGTACCCCGACTGGGACCAAAAATTAGTCTCAATCAAGGACTACACACCAAACGGCGCCCTGTTCAATTACGCCGATTCCCAATCGTCGCTCAATCACGGAAGCTGCAACCCATGTCTTCTTCCTTCCTCACTTGGCTATTTAAGGAGAGCCAACTCCTTCATTTCCTCACCAAAACAACTCATTCTTCCTTCTATCTTGTTCCTTGCTGAGAGTAGAGTTCAGTGGTGCTGTCATTCTTGTGTGAGGTCGCCGGAGCAGAGAGATATAGTCGCCGGAAGTTTCGTCGGAAAATATTCAAAACCTTCATTTACCTTTGAGGTAAGCCCGTAGATATATCTAATGACTAGAATGTTCATATAGGTCGTTTCTACGTTTATAAATGGTCATTTGGTTGAGTTTTGTGTTTGACATGTTTGAAGTACCAAGAATCATAAACCTTGAATTTGATGTTAAAAATATGTTTTAATAATTCTAATATGATCTATGAACCTTGGAGAACATCTCTATATAGTTTAATTGAAGTTCGGTGACTAAAAATGATTTTCCCGAAAAATGGACCGAGGTTGAAGACGAATGAACAGTGGCTGAAAATCCACAGAGTGGATCGATCCCCTTCATTGGATCGATCCTCTGGGAGTTTTTCTTCTAGTTGGATCGATCCAGAGGACTGGATCGATCCTCCGAAACACTGGTCCGAAAATTTGTTTGAAATTGCTATTTTTGAGCTCTAAAATCCTATTTTTGATACCAATTGATTATGATTATTATAAAAATGATTTTTCACAACAAAAATGATGTTTTTAACAAATTAAAACATTATGTGATGCATGACGGTAAGTTCGGGTGTTAACACTCGAGACTAGGCCGCTAATTGTTATTAAATGTTATGTTGAATGATCATTATGATGAACTATTATTGTGGCCAATTATGAATGATTAACCTACTGATTGGTATGATTATTGATTAAATCATTATTAAAAATAGATATAATGATGATTATGAAAATGATGTATATTGTTAAGGATATCTAGAAGAACTCTAAGATATACCCACTTGTATAATGTTGATGATTATTAAGGATATCTAGAAGAACTCTAAGATATACCTCCTTGACCAATTCATATTTCGGGGTTAAAACATACGTACGGGATCCAGAACGGATATCACCCACCCGGCAGTTCACTGTTCGGTTGGTACGTAATCCACATGACTCATAGGGTGGATTATCGATTCTTGTGTTCTGCATTAAACTATTTATAGTTTAAGGGCCTAGTTAGAAATGTTGCCTTAGACTAGGAATAGTTAAGAGTTGTTATGAAATGATTTGGCCTTAGATTAATAATAATTTAAGAGCATTATTGATATATTGAATATCAAATGACTTGGAATAAAATATTGAAAATATTATGAATGTTTGAACCATATATTGTGTGCATGATATCAAATGGTTGATTATGAATTGAGATTCAATTTATGTGGATGTTCGACGCTTTAGATATGCTTACTCAGCTTCACCGCTGAGCGTGTAGTGTGTTTTATTTGCTACACGCAGGTAAACAGAAAGATTAATGTGATCCTAGCGGCAGATGGGGCGAGATTGTCGGGATGGATGTGACAAGTTTTGAAATGATTTATGATATGCCAATATTAAATTCGCTTCCGCAATATTGTTAAATACTCCGTAGTGTATATGTTATGAAAAATATTATTGAGATTAATAAAGTGTGTTTGAATGGGGCTGCAGAGCTGGACGGATTAGGGTGTTACACCCAGCCTCCCCGGCCATCACCAGCAGTGCCTAGAGCATAGACGTCGCACCTTTTCCACCATAGCTCTCTCCATCCCAGCGATTTGGCTAGCGAGGGAGATCAAATGGAGGATGAAGACAAAAGAGGATATGCGAGTTTTTAATTTAAACTTTGAGATACCCCTTAGGAATTATGAAACGGTAACAACATTCTCGCCCCTAACGACCAGTTGGACGGAAAGTACCCTCGAGTAATTACTTCAAATATTAGATGCACCTAAAGTTATTTTTGAAAATGCGGGACCCTGAAGTTCCTACCTGTTGAATATAAGTGAGCCCTAGAGGCCAACTTATGATTCCATATCTATATTATATCAAGAACAATAGGCCCTAAAGATTGTTTAAGTCGTCTCGTGTGATTTAAACATAGCTTTAGTCCATAGAGTAGGTGCTCTAGTAACATAGATGAGAACTATGACGTTCTGATTATGAGGCTGTTACAAAGATAGAGGCTATGTCTAAAATATCCTTAGTCGAATATTATGACAATACAGACATCATAATATATCAAGACTAATACGTATGAGATGAGATAGTTGCGTCTCATAGGCTATAGATAAAGTGTTATCTGAATCTATACGTAGGCAAACCATATTGGATATGTTGCTGGATTGACCCGCTATGAGAATAATATATGGGTTTGAGTTAAAGTGTTAATATTATTCTCATGCGACCATTAGTATAACTATCCTTTGACTTGAAGTCATTACATTCTTTGGTAAGTTGAGTTGTATACTTTGAGGCATGATTTATGCCATCTGAAATATTGGTGGATGTACAGTTATGTTTTGGGTATGCAATGAAACTTAAGCGAAGATGTGAATGACGTAGATAGAATTTCTCCCTTCTTTGATGAAGTATAATATCTTAGGGCCCACTGATTGATGTGACTTGGGAAGAGCATGGCCATGCCCAAATAAATATGTTATTTGAATCCCACAAGTCAATCGAAGAATCAGTAAACCATCGATTTAACTTTAACAATGTGACACACCCCATGCCTTGTGTTAAATCAAGATATTAGTGATAAAGGGATAAGGGTTATAAAAATAGGATGTGTCGTTGAAGGAATTGTTCCAAGAGCTTTAATCTATAATTTGGGGGTGATAATGTGTTGCTAGATACCGCTTATCACTTGTAGTATTTAATCGATACTATGACCAATTTTATAGATGCCTAGAATAGGGTCACACACATAGAACATATGAATGTGTAGAGTATTTAAGTGGAGTGAAGTTGCACTTTATTTATATATTGTGTATATTATATTGTGTGACAATATGATTAGATACAGAAAAACATATATAAATAAATATTTATATTTGGACATTTTAATTATGTGATAATTAAGTTTGTCAAATATATTTAATAATAATAAAGTATATATATATTCGGATATATATATATATATTCATATATATATATATATATATATATATGAATAATAAATTGTTTATTATTTTAGTATTATTATTAAGGCACGAAATATATATTTATATATATTTAATATTTGGACATTTTAATTATATGATAATTAAGTTTGTCAAATATTATTTAAGGAACAAAATATAACATTATTATATTTATATAT